TAAATGAGATGATTTTTGCAACATACATAGATGGCCCAGAGAAAGTCCTCAGTAGATGAAATTTGCAAAGATAACAGATTAATTTAGTGTTAAAGAAATATGTGTTAAACTTAGATATTACGGATTTGAACCTTTACTAACTGTGTGACCTTGAGCTAGCTATCCAATCTGTTTGTGTTCTTGGAGAGGTTACATTTCTTTGTGCTCTCTTGTAATGATTTTGCGATAGGATGTAAAGATGATTGTGTTAATATATGAAAATCTCTTAGCATAGTGATGACCACATAGCAAGAACTCAGTAAGAGATAGTTTTATTGCTACCCATTGAATATAAAAACACTGTGCTAGAAACTGAGTAGGAGTTGGGAATATAAGAAGTTTCAAAAGTGAACAAGTCAGTTTTACTTCTTAGTAAATTCAAAAGAGCATATGAAACAATTATAGTTAGAAAATACCAGCTGCTGTAACAAGTGAACCACCAAATTCCCATGGCTCACCCCCATAGAAGTTTCTGTCCTACTCATGCAAAAGTCCAAGGTGGCTCTTCCTGTTTGGCAGGTGTGTCTTTCCTTTAGGCAGTGATTCAGGGAACTAGACTCCGTCGGCCTGGGGCTCTGGATTCACTTAGGACCTCAATGTCATCTGTCTCCAGCCACCCGAAAGGAAAAGGGAAAGAGTATGAGAGATTAGAGAAGAGTAACTACTCTTCAAAAACCCAGGTCCAAAAAGGACCATCCCGCTTCAGCTCATGTCTCATTGATGAAAATCATTTGGCTTGGATGCAAAAAGTCTGGAAAATATAGTTTCTGGCCCAGAAGAACTCCCAGCAATAATTCATACTATGAAAGTGGGAAATGTAGCTTTGCTTTTTCTGGCACAGAGATATATCTATCTGTCTATATACATATATATAGAGTGACAAAATGGAGTGAGCCCAGGATGAGGAGGAAGTATAGAGTATAGTCTGGGTGTGAAACCAGCCTTTCTCAAGGCTCCAAATTAGAACTCTGGAGTTCTGAGAACTTTTATTTATTTATTTATTTAAAAAAAATTTTATTTTATTATGTTATGTTAATCACCATACATCATTAGTTTTTTTTATTATGTTATGTTAATCACCATACATTACATCATTACTTTTTGATGTAGTGTTCCATGACTCATTGCGTATAACACCCAGTGCTCCATTCAATACATGCCCTCTTTAATACCCATCACCAAGCTAACCTACCCCCTACCCCCTTCCCCTCTAGAACCCTCAGTTTGTTTCTCAGAGTCCATAGTCTTTCATGGTTCATCTCCCCCTCCGATTCCCCCCCTTCACTTTTCCCTTCCTACTATCTTCTTTTTTATTTTATTTATTTATTTTATTATTATTTTTTTTATTTTTTAAAGATTTTATTTATTTATTTGACAGAGAGACACAGTGAGAGAGGGAACACAAGCAGAGGGAGTGGGAGAGGGAGAAGCAGGCTTCCCGCCAAGCAGGGAGCCCGATGCGGGGCTCGATCCCAGGACCCTGGGATCATGACCTGAGCCGAAGGCAGACGCTTAACGACTGAGCCACCCAGGTGCCCCTTTTTAATTTTTTTTAACATATAATGTATTATTTGTTTCAGAGCACAGGTCTGTGATTCATCAGTCTTACACAATTCACAGTGCTCACCATAGCACATACCCTCCCCAATGTCCATCACCCAGCCACCCCATCCCTCCCACCCCCCACCACTCCAACAACCCTCAGTTTGTTTCTTGAGATTAAGAATTCCTCATATCAGTGAGGTCATATGATACATGTGGAGTTCTGAGCACTTTTAAACCCACTGTCTGCCATATATTAAACAGTAGAAACTCCTCCTTGGTGGTAGAGGCAGGAACAAAATAAGAGTGAGGGGAAATCCTATTAAACCCTATTTCAGGAACCTGATTAATATTCTAGGATCCCAGAGTTATATCTTAATGCAAGAATTTAAGTTTATGGTTGAAGAATTTGGACATAGTTTTATTTCCACTCATCCCTGTCTGAGGCTATAAATGAGATAGATTATAATTACTCGGTGCAACCATTCTTCAGTAATACATATGAATCCCTAGAGTGCATTGGGTCTGACCTTAGGAGGTATGATTGAAATTTCTGATTTTTTGTTATTTTGCTTACTTGAAGTTCAGTAAAACAAAGGTAGCATTCAGTAGCAGCACTAAGCTTTTCAGAAGGTCTTTCCCCAAACTAGTTAGGTCAGTAGCACTGCTGTACAATTTGCTACTGCACAATCAGAGTTTCCAAATTCCAATGCTGGGAATGCCATACATTGAGATGCAATGCATAGCGTACAGGTATGTAAGAAACCTTCCAAGTTGTGAAAGCATTTTCAAAGAGCTAAGAAACCTAACCAAATGGCTGATGGGGGAAAAAAAAAAAAAGGTCTCAGGCTGGGGGGGGAAAAAAAAAGAAAAGCTATCCAGAGGGAAATGTGCACCGACTAGCATTAATTTATTTGTGAGCCAACTGTTTCATATTAAAAGCAATCAAGAGAAAATGCTTTTCTAGAGGACTTAAACAGATTTGGACTCAATTTGAAAATAATTCATTGTGTTAATTTCTTATTAAAATTATGTCCTCCTAACAGAAGGGCAGAGTTTACTCTTATTTCACTAGTAAATTTTTAAAAATTGTGTAATTTAACAATGTAAAGTTGTTTCTTTTTAAATATCCTTAGTTAGTGATGAAATCACAGTGTGACATATACTAGCTGTGGCTGAAGAGTTTCCTCACTTGTATTCTTTAAAATGTTATCTTCTATGAATAATGATTTAAAAAAAAAAGACGTCTGTAATTTTATCCGCAAATACTAGGGCTGTGGGTCAAATGATGCTGAAGGAACACATGAAATTTCTATGTGCTGCTTTTACTTTACAGAATATTTTCATATTTAATGGTAGGCTCTCCTTAAAATATTCAGTATTGATTGAAGTTCTAAAGCTATCTAAATATTCCATTAAAGTTCATCAAAGAAAAATATGAGCACTAGAATTTAGTACAAAAAGTAGCTACTAATACATGAAAATTGGCATATCAAAAATAATGACAGTGATGCAGTTGCTTATAGGAGATAATGTTTTAGAAGTTGCATCAAATGGCTAGCTGTTCTATTTGCTAGGTCAAATGAGACAAGTCCAATTTATCTAATGCTGTTTGTCTCTTACAGCTAAAGGTTTATGTATTAAGGAATGTACAGGTTTGGGCAATGAAGTACCCACACGGGCTCAGAAAGTTAGTGAAAGGCTACCATTTCCGTGCCAGGAAAAAGAAGACTTCTTACCAATAGGGAAAATCTACACGATAGTTCGTAAATTACAAGGAAGAAAATTTAAGGTCTGAGAACGAATCCTCTGTCCAGCAGTAAAAGGCAAAACAAAACAAATGAAAGAGATTATCACAGTCAGGAGAGCTTTAACCAGTAATTTAACCAGTAATTTATCCCAAGAGCTCCAAATATTTGAAATATTTAGTTCCTAGGGACTAGAAACTAAAAGGAATAGGAAGAGGGGTATAATAGTTTCATGGTCCTCACACTTTTCAGTGCTGACTTTTCAAATTGCTTTAATTTTTTATTACAGAGGAGCTCAATGGCGGGGGTGGGGGGCATTGGTTGCTGAGTCTGGAGACATGTAAGGTGTGACTTTGGAAAAATCATTTATGCAACCTTGGCCTCTATTGCCTGAGAGGTGAAACAGAGGGTTCTAATGTTCAATGACTCAAATCTTTCTTCTGCTCCAGTATTCTGAGCCTCTTTCTCATTCTAGTACTGTGGCTCCCAGTTCAATGACATGAAGGGGGAAGAGGCACCTCTTTCAAGCTAGGGTTGGTGCAGCAGTCTGAGGTTCCCCAGAGACTCCACATTTACGGTCCAGAAATGGAGAGAAGACACAGCAGCTGGTGGCAAAGTAATCACTGAAGCAGGAACTTTTAAAAGCATAGAGTACCCCAAACTCAACTTTGAAGGCAGGCAGAGACACAAGGTGACATTATTGTAAGTGATTCCTCGTTCCATATATCATTCTATAGTTTAGATTCAAGGAAGACTCTTTAGATCCCAGCAAGAAAAATTAACCAAATGCTGAGAGAAACTATTCATTACTGAGAACAGATGATGCTTTAAAGAGCTGATTGATTGGCTTACCTGACATCTCATTTACTTTTGTACACAATCATAAAGTAAGAGTTTTCTAACACATTGCTGGTGTGTAAGCCATTAGTTTCCAACTAAACCAGGAGACCTGTTTGAAAAATGAGTCTGAGAAGAACCATTTCAGATTATATCATTTTTTTTCTTGCACTGTACAGTAATATGGCTTCATATTTACCAAACGCATTATCATGTCAGAGCCAAGAAAACTAACAAATAAATTGCTATTCTACCATAAATTCATCTTGAATGAAGGAATCCAGGTGGTCATAAATAAGCATTTTCCCAAGCTTTATTCCTAAATCAAGAGTGAAGTTTGAGATACCCTATAGGGTAGAGATACCCTACCACCTACCTCAATTCAACATGTTTCAAGAGGCTGATGTAAATAAATTGTATGAAAACTACACATCTGTGGCACTCATCGCCTCCCCAGGCAGTAAGGCCATGTCCTGTTATGAGATGAGAGAGGTTTTGCAGAGTTGAAAGAAAATTTGCAAATGTGTCAGGGAGCTCAGGTTTTCCTCTCAAGCATGACTGGATGGCACTAAATTATTGGGTCCTTTGTCCCAACACAAGCATCCTTCATGACCTCCATTCAGGCCTCAGAGCTAGTTTCCTTCCTGCAAAATGGTCTTGATATCCCTTTCCAGGAATCTCTCACAACAAGGAGTTGAAATCATAGAATTAGAGTCTGGCCATTCCAGGTTAGGCAACTTCCTCTTGTTCCCTAGAGAAAGGAATGAAAGGTTACTGATAAATGCATCAATTCATCATGAGTGTATATATGAATGGATAAACAGCAATCTTCCTGTGCTCCCTTCAGCAGCACATATATTAAAATGGCAACAATACAAAGATTTGCACGGCCTGTACAAGAATGACCCACAAATTCATGAAGCATTCCATATTTTGGGGGTGGTACAGGCTTCCTTTATGGAATGAATAAGTCATGGGAATAAAAAGCACAGCAGAGGGAATACAGTCAAGGATGTTGTAATAGTGTTGTATGGTGAGAGATGGGAGCTACATTTGTGGGGAGGATAGCATAACATATAGAGAAGTTGAATCATTATATTGTACACCTGAAACTAATGTAATGTTGTGTGTCAACTATACTCAAAAAGTTAAAAGAAAAAGAATCTCCTTAAATCCTCTGAATTTAGAATCCTCAATAGCTCCATGTTCTTACCTAACCCTGTTCCTGTGTAAATGAACTAACAAGTAATTTAGAGCTCCATCCCTGAGAAGCTGCTGAATCAAAAAGGACGCATTTAAACTTAATTGCTCCAAATCCTTACCACCACCCCCCCCCCCCCGCCAACTACTCCACTAACAGGGATACTGACTAGGTGAAACTATTAAGAGAGATTATATGAATATAATAACATTGATCTCAACGTCTAGATGAAATCTTAATCTCTCAGAAATATTTTTCACTCAGGCTAGAATATGCTGGATCTCAATGGATGTCAACTCTTCAAGACAAAACAAAAACAAAACAAAAATGTTTCATTCATTTATTGTTTTTTAGTCTGTGGCAGTTTCAAAAAAAAAAGATTGGAAATTCTCTGATACTGCTCCTATGGAGGAATCTGCTCTGTGCCCTCCTCTTCCCCTTGAATAAGGGTAAACCCGTGACTCACTTGTAACTCATAGAATGCAGAAGTGACTCTGCCTGACATCCAAGGCTGGATCAGAAAAGATAACACAGCTTCTGTCTTGTTTACTGGTACCCTCGTACGTGGGGCCTTGAACTGCCATCTAAGTAGTCCTATTACCCTCAGAGTGTTATGCTGGAGAGCCCACGTGTAGTCACTTTAGCCAAGAGCCTAGTGAGGGCTCAGCAAACAGCCAGCAACTCACATTCACTTGAGTGCAACATATTTGACATTATGCCCAGTTGGTCCTTCAGATGACTGCAGTCCCAGCAACAGCTGACTGCGACCACGTGAGACTCCCCAAGAATTGCCAACATGAGTCCGTCTTAAATTCCTGATTTGCGAAAAAATTCTGAACAAAAAGAAAATGGTTATTTTAATATGGAAAGTTTTGAGGTACTTTGCCACATGGCATTTGTAACCAAAAGACAATTTTCCTGAAAAGATTTAACGCAATTTACAAAGGTAGAAAAACAATAGGGTGGCATATATTAATATTTATTTTCATCATGCCATGCTTTTCATTTTTGGATTTAATGATCATATAACTTTTAGAATGCAAATGGAAATATTTTGCTTGTCACTGGATATCAATAAAGTAACATATAGTATATAATGTATAACTTACCAAGATGTACTTATTGCCTAATTTGTTTGCATATTTATTGGATGACAAATATAAGGATATATTCTTTCAAATTAAACTATAATCTTCATATGAATCTTTTATTTTAACTGGGGTAAAATTTACATACAGTGATTTTATATAGAAAACTTGATGAGATATGACAAGTGGGACAGCCCCATAATTAATAGACCAACAAAGATATGAAATATTTAAACCACTCCAGAAAGTTCTCTATGCCCCCTTTGCGGTCAAACCCTACCCACCACAGGTAACCAATGTTTTGTCTATTATCATAGAGATTAATTTTGTCTGTTCTAGAATTACTATAAGTAGACTCATACTGTCCATATTTGTATAGCTCATTAATATGTGTTCTCAGTAGAGGTATCATCCCCAAAGAAGTGAAAATTGGTTCTTGGTAATGGGTGAAAAAATCTTGGGTATTACAATGGTGAATGACACCCTACATTTCAACCTTACCTGACAAAATCTTTATTCAAGATGTAATTTCTCTCATTATGGAGAATTTTAATTTAACTTTCTTCTGGCAGAGGGGAACAATAATAAAAAAATGTCAAAAAATGCTGATCTATAGTTAACTGAAGTCATATAGCAAGAGTCTGCCAAATTTGTTCTTTTGCAAGATTCTTTTGGCTATGCTAAGTCCTATTCTTTTTCATATAGAATTTAGAATCTCCTCAAATTCTATAAAAAATAATTTTGAGATTTTGGCATTATAGTGACTCTGTGAATCACTTGGGAGATTGATATTGAAATGATACTGAGTCTTCTATTCCATGAACACAATCTTTCCATCTAAGTCTACTGTAATTTCTCACAGCAATGTTTTGAAGTTTTCAACATATAAGACTTTCATTTCTTTTTTTTTAAGATTTTATATATTTTTTTAATTTTTTAAATTAACATATAATGTATTATTTGTCTCAGGGGTACAGGTCTGTGATTCATCAGTTTTACACAATTCACAGCACTCACCATAGTACTTGCCCTCCCCAGTGTCCATCACCCAGCCACCCCATCCCTCCCATGCCCCTCCACTCCAGCAACCCTAGATTTGTTTCCTGAGATTAAGGGTCTCTTATGGTTTGTCTCCCTCTCTGGTTTTGTCTTGTTTCATTTTTCCCTCCCTTCCCCTATGATCTTCTGTCTTGTTTCTCAAATTCCTCATATCAGTGAGATCATATGATACTTGTCTTTCTCTGACTGACTTATTTTGCTTAGCATAATAACCATCTAGCTCCAACCACATCATTGCAAATGGCAAGATTTCATTTTTTGATGGCTACATAATATTCCATTGTATATATATACCACATTTTCTTTATCCATTCATCTGTTGATGGACATCTAGGCTCTTTCCACAGTTTGGCTATTGTGGACATTGCTGCTATAAACACTGGGGTGCATGTGCCCCTTTGGATCACTACATATGTATCTTTGGGGTAAATACCCAGTAGTGCAATTGCTGGGTTGTAGGGTAGCTTTATTTTCAACTTTTTGAGGAACCTCCATACTGTTTTCCAGAGTGGCTGCACCAGCTTGCATTCCCACCAACAATGTAGGACGATTCCCCTTTCTCCCCATCCTTGCCAACATCTGTCATTTCCTGACTTGTTAATTTTAGCCATTCTGACTAGCGTGAGGTGGTATCTCATTGAAGTTTTGATTTGGATTTCCCTGATGCCAAGTGATGTTGAACACTTCTTCATGTGTCTGTTGGCCATTTGGATGCCTTCTTTGCAGAAATGTCTGTTCATGTCTTCTGCCCATTTCTTGATTGGATCATTTGTTCTTTGGGTGTTGAGTTTAAGAAGTTCTTTATAGATTTTGGATACTAGCCCTTTATCTGACAGATCATTCTGTAGGTTGTCTTTTGGTTTTGTTGACTGTTTCCTTTGCTGTGCAAAAGCTTTCTATCTTGATGAAGTCCCAATAGTTCATTTTTGCCCTTGTTTCCCTTGCCTTCAGCGATGTTTCTAGGAAGAAGTTGCTGTGGCTGAGGTCGAAGAGGTTGCTGCCTGTGTTCTTCTCCAGGATTTTGATGGATTCCTGTCTCACATTTAGGTCTTTCATCCATTTTGAGTCTATTTTTGTGTGTGGTGTAAGGAAATGGTCCAGTTTCATTCTTCTGCATGTGGCTGTCCAATTTTCCCAACACCATTTGTTGAAGAGACTGTCTTTTTTTCCATTGGACATTCTTTCCTGCTTTGTTGAAGATTAGTTGACCATAGAGGTGAGGGTCCATTTCTGGGCTCTCTATTCTGTTCCATTGATCTGTGTATCTGTTTTTGTGCCAGTACCATACTGTCTTGATGATTACAGATTTGTAATAGAGCTTGAAGTCCGGAATTGTGATGCCACCAGCTTTGCTTTTCTTTTTCAACATTCTTCTGGCTATTCGGGGTCTTTTCTGGTTCCATACAAATTTTAGGATTATTTGTTCTATTTCTTTTAAAAAAGTTGATGGTATTTTGATAGGTATTGCATTAAATGTGTAGATTGCTCTCGGTAGCATAGACATTTTCACAATATTTGTTGTTCTAATCCATAAGCATGGAATGTTTTTCCATTTCTTTGTGTCTTCCTCAATTTCTATCATGAGCATTCTATAGTTTTCTGAGTACAGATCCTTTGCTTCTTTGGTTAGATTTATTCCTAGGTATCTTAGGGTTGCAACTGTAAATGGGATTGATGCCTTAATTTCTTTTTCTTCTGTCTTGTTGTTAGTGTATAGAAATGCAACTGATTTCTGTGCATTGATTTTATATCCTGTGATTTTACTGAATTCCTATATGAGTTCTAGCAGTTTTGGGGTGGAGTCTTTTGGGTTTTCAACATCAAGGATCATATCATCTGCAAAAAATGAGAGTTTGACTTCCTCTTTGCCGATTTGGATGCCTTTTATTTCTTTTTGTTGTCTGCTGAGGCTAGGCCTTATAGTTGAACAGCTGTGGTGATAGTGGACATCCCTGCCACATTCCTGACCTCAGGGGAAAGCTCTCAGTTTTTCCCCATTGAGTATGACATTAGCTGTGGGTTTTTCATAGATGGTTTTTATGATATTGAGGTACGTACCCTCTATCCCTACACTCTGAAGAGTTTTGATCAAGAAAGGATGCTGTACTTTGTCAAGTGCTTTTTCTGCATCTATTGAGAGGATCATATGGTTCTTGTTCTTTCTTTTATTAATGTATTGTATTACATTGATTGATTTGCAGATGTTGAACCAACCTTGCAGACCAGGAATAAATCCCACTTGGTCGTGGTGAATAATCCTTTTAATGTACTGTTGGATCCTATTGGCTAGTATTTTGGTGAGAATTTTTGCATCCATGTTCATCAGAGATATTGGTCTTTTTGATGGGTCTCTGACTGGTTTTGGGATCAAGGTAATCCTGGCCTTGTAAAATGAGTTTGGACATTTTCCTTCCATTTTTATTCTTTGAAGCAGCTTCAGAAGAATAGGTATTAATTCTTCTTTAAATGTTTGGTAGAATTCCCCTAGGAAGCCATCTGGCCCCGGGCTCTTGTTTGTTGGGAGATTTTTTATTACTGCTTCAATTTCCTTAGTGGTTATGGGTCTGTTCAGGTTTTCTATGTCTTCC